CCTTAGTCTTTCGATTTAGTGAAATTAAAATCTCAGAGAAGGGCTAAGTGGCAGAAAAAGATTAATTGTATAATTTATTCTCTTTAACAATTCATCTTCCTCTTTGACCTTGGATGTTTGAGAGAAATAGTATGCCATTCAGTGGAATGACTCCCTTCATTTCGGCCCAATGGTTTGCCACTTGGAATCCCTAAGATCGCAGTCCTCCGCTTCTTAGAATCTGGTCAGTCCAATTCTGTGTATTGAAAGGCTGCAGAGCACCAGGCCCTCTGTGGACCCCGGACTAAAATTGCCTAAATAACTCAAGGCATCAAGAACCTAAAGGAGAAGACGAAGCACCACAAATGGTGTGCGCTTATCAAACGTTAGCCCTCCACACAGTTTAGTGATTAAAACAAGGGGGAGGCGCCTACAGTCTTGGAGCCCATTGGTAGGCCCCTCAAGTTCACACACGAAGCTCCGGCTGTGGTTGTTTTCAAACATGGCAGTGTGTGTGATAGCTAGAAGCTTCCTTTCAGCTTGTAGATCTGCTTGTTCCATGTAATGACGCTTACCTAAAATTAGTGCACAGGTCTTAGTGCCCTGGCTGTGTTTGGGGCAGGTAGGATAGGGAGGGATGGGGTAACCCTGTGGGCCTTCAATGCAGTATGGTCTGGTGTAGTATGGTCATACTGCAGCCCTGAATTACCATTGGACTTGACTTCTTAGAGGCGTGAGTCATTTTTGCTTATTTTCAATCTTTTCACATTTTCATTTTTAGCTTAACTTAAAAAAAAATCTTTTCTATTGCATCCTGCCTTTCTAGGAAGTTGGAAGAGTAATTGGGATCGCTCTGATGAAACAATTTGGATGGAAAGCAGATTTGAGGAATCCAAATTTAGAGGTAATAAATGATGGTTTTGTTTCATATACTTCAAGAAAATACTGTCACAATCTGTAAAGATGGCATCAACTCGTGTTACTATACTTCTAAATTTTACTGTGTATTTTTTCGAAAGCCTACCCAAATGCATATAAAAGCCTATTTTCCTTTAGCAGTAGAATCGTGCAGATAGTTTTATCTAATAATCTCCACTGTGAAAATGTCTTAGCCAAATAGGATTTTTTTAGAGTGGAGCTGCTTAGAGTTGAAGAAAGCAGAACACGTATCGTACGGTGACAAAGAAGCTGATCTCTACCATCGCTATAATCCGTAATAAGTCTCTACCATCTACAATAAGATGGACCTGCCAAAAATATTCAGTAAGCCATTAATAGTTGCTTTGTTACAGTTATGGGATTTTGTTTTATTTTCCAGATTATTTTAGTAAGTTTATACTACTTTGATAATGACATTAAAACAAACCAAAAAAATGGTGGTAGGGTGACAGATAGGATGCTATCTATAAAACTTATTCTTCTGTTTTTTGAAAACTCTCTCAGAAACTTGACAGGTATTTAGTTGTTTTCGTGACTCATTAATTCCCAAAATGATGAGTTGCCACCTACCTTTAAAGGGAGCATTAGCTAGCCCCAAAATGCAAAGACTTATACATGATGATCCGGGAAGTTGGTCGAAAGTGTTGCTTAATTTTCAGTTTCTTCATATGAGTCTTCTAAGTTTAAAAAGAAAAATAATGCATGTGTGGTATCACGTGAAATAAGACATTACAGAGATGTATGGCAGTGAACCAGATTGGTGACTTTGCCTTCCTCTCTTCCACTTCCAGTGTTAATGGGCCACTTTACTTTTCAACGAAGTAATGTAGCCCCAAGAGTGGTTTGGCATCAGGGCAGTTTCCTCTTACCTCCCTTTTCCACTTCTCGTATTCTTTCTTTTCCTCCCTCCACCTGCTCCTGATTCTCTCTCTGAAATACTCATAATTTTTCTGCAGATGAGCGCCGTAAGTGAACAAAAGTAGCTAATTTGATTTCTGTCAGCCATCTGCCATAGTTAGCAATAGCTATGACCAGTGGAAATAATCAACGCAAAACCAAATTGCTAACAGTCAAATAATGCATAGTAGAATCCATGGCTAAAAACTTACAGAAGAACTGAATGCTACATTTTGTTCTATGGAATTTATGGAGAAACATGGGCACAAAGAAATTTTATGGGGAGAGAAGGTCACTGTATCTTTTATGACTTAAAATAAAAAAACAAGGTCAGTGTATCAAATCTCTAGTGTAAATTATAAATAGAAAACCTCAGTAAACAAAAATTTAACGAGCTGTGATGTAGCACTCAATCGAACAATTAAATGGAGTAAATACAGTTCACAAGATAATTCTGTTTTTGATAAAAATTTCATTTTCCAGACATGATTAACTAAAGCCTTGGGATTTCTTACTAAAATATAGTTCAGGATGGGAGGAGAGGTGCACAGAGTTGGGGAAATTCCATGATCTTTCTGTTCCATTTTCCCATGAGCATTTTGAACCCCCCTCATATAGGTTCAGAATTGGAGTTTACAAGTAATTTGGTAATGTCATGTCTTATCTTCATTCTAACAGATCTTTATACATCTAAATGACATTTACTCTGTGGTGGGGATCCCTATTTTCAAGTAAGTACATATAGTCTATGCTTTGAGATTATCCTTTAGATGTTATAATATTAAGAACTTTATTGTTTTCATTTAGATTATGAAACAGTGATACTGCCACCCTCCCCCCAGCCAAAAAATACAAAACCCTGCTATTAAGTCTCATACAACTCATAATGACCCTCTGTAGAAGTTAGAAGATTGTGCATCTTTACAGGACAGAAAGCCTCATCTTTCACCTGCCAAGTGGCTGGTGAGCCAGAACCACTGACCTTACAATTAGCAGCCCAGTGCTTACCAGATACCACCACCAACACTCCTTCTTGATAAAGCAGAAGGGGATAAAGGCATAGGGTTTGCATTCTTTGCTCAAAGTAGTAAAATGTTGTCCTGGCATTGGGTGGGTATGACTTTAAGTATTTTGAGCTGTGCAAGGTTTGATCATAATACACTGATGACACGCTTTCATACTGAAAACTGTGCCTCAGTATTTCCATTAGAGTTTATGTTTTAGGACCATATTTAAGCTAAACATTTTAGTTTGTTTGGCATCTTGGAGCTTTTAATTAAAAATGGAAAATAGAATATAATTTTAAAAAATGTTTTGTGTATATTGCCCAAATTTTATCATCATATTTCTTATAGTAGGGGAGCTTGTTACCTGTTTTAAATATCTCCAAGTGCTTCCCTATAGAATGATACATGTTAAGTCATACATTTCTCTGCCAGGACACAGGTAATTTTCCGGGCACTTTGGTAAAAAAGAGCCAGTTAGACCCAAAGCGATTTCACTTTCTTGGGAATATGTAACTTGTGTGAGTATCTACAAAAGGTTTTATGTGCATAGCACTGTGTATATAAAACAAAGTGGTTTAGCTATCCTTTTTCCAGGTGACTTTAGTAATATACCCTTTTTTTTTTTTAAGATCATAAAGTTCTGTGTGTTTCTAAGGCTGGGGAATTGCTCTATTTGCCCTAAGTGCACACAGATGCATCTGCAAGCTATACGTAGGATGTAAAAATAACTGCCTTAAGGTGATTGTAGTAGCTCTCATCTGGTGATGAGCTATAGCAGCCGATGAGCACGGTGTCAAGAACATCATAGATGTTCAATAAAGGTTGAAGGATGGCGTGCTTCCTGTGCGCTAGTCATGAGGTAGGCCCTACCAGTCTCTAGATGACAAAGACCATGCCCTAAAAAACAGTTTTCGTCACCCTTAACACCTGTGAGCTCATTACCTGCCTCGATTTCCCTAGGCCCCCATATAGCTCAACACCTTAGAAATTCTCCCAGACAAGCCAAACCCCCTCTAAGATCTACACCCCAAACGTTTTCAGGTTGCCCTGCTCCACTGCCGATGGAGTCCCTGTCCCTAGCCCATGCGAAGTATTTGTAAAGAGACTCTTTCATTTGAACAATGTGGCCAATCTGACCTTTCACAAGGTCATCATCGCTCCAGTGTAGCATGTTAAACAGACATGGAGGTACAATAACAGAACCTTGCTTACGGAAAGGGAAGGGAGGAAACCTAACCTAAACCTTCTAAGAACCCACCGTTACTACTGATGGTCATTAAGACTCATACCCTGAATGAGCAGTGGTTGAAATAAGATTATATTAGATGCCCTGCAATTAATTCGTTTGACTAAGTCAGCAGCGGAAGAAAGCCATCTCTGTGATCCAAGTCTCTAAAGGGAACCGTTTGCTGAGGCATGAGCGAAAGGAGTTGTTGAACGGCAGGCGGCAGTGGATGAGAATAGTGGCCCAGGGCAGCAGCAGAAAGCACGGCCTCGTGACCTAAATGGCAGCCAAAGTCAAAGTCAAAGTCAGGAAGAATAACAACAGAAAAATAGGAAAATTATTTTTTAAACAGTTCAAGAAATCCTTAAACAATTTACTTTTTAATCTTTGGCCCCTAGAAGGCTGAGATGCAGGCTGTAGAAGATTGACTTCTGAGCAACGCCTCATCTCCAGCAGCACTGAGTAAGACACAGCTGTAGATTCCTAGCAGTAAATAAAAGAACACTTTTTTTCAAAGCCATTTTATTAATACAAAACCATTTTATTAATTATGATTTTATTCATCATAGTCCATCATTCAATCACATCAAGCAGTCTGGTACAATTGCTACCCCTGTCAGTCTCAACACATGCTTTCCCTTGAACGCCTGACATCAGCTTCCTTTGACCCCACCACTACCCCCACTGGACCCCCCAAGAACCAGTATTCAACTTGCTGTCCCTATAGGTTCATCAGTCCTGGGTTTCATCTACTGAAAAACAGAAAAACATGTAACAAAAATTCAGTAGTGTGGCCCCAGTGACATAACATCTGAGATAAACCCCAATAGGAACAAACAAAAACACAGAAGATGTTGAAAACCAAACCAGGCCTAACATGCATCGGAGTGGGGGGGAAGCAACTGACCAGGTTTTAACCAAAAGTAAAAGTACACATTTTTAATTGTGTTATAAATAAGCTGAATTTCATGCTATTTTATTATTCATGTATATGTATATATATATATTTCTATGTAAGGAAAAAACATTAAATCTTATTATTTAAAATTATTTGAATGCTTGCTAGAAGCACTGAAGAAGTCGTGCTCATGGAATTTCAAATACTAATTGGTAACAACCTAAAGATTTACAGATTAAAGGCATGTACCTGAAAATTAAGACTCATACCCCAATGAGCAGTGGTTGAAAATAAGATTATATTAGATGTCCTGCAATTAATTCGTTTGACTAAGTCAGCAGCAGAAGAAAGCCGTCTCTCTGATCCAAGTCTCTAAAGGGAACCGTTTGCTGAGGCATGAGGGAAAGGAGTTGTTGAACGGCAGGTGGCAGTGGATGAGAATAGTGGCCCTGGGCAGCAGCAGAAAGCACAGCCTCGTGACCTAAATGGCAGCCAAAGTCAAAGTCATGAAACAGGATAGAGTAACCATGAAGTGTGAAAATCACATGAAAATGTTTATCTTAGTAGTTCCTAAAGACAGTGATCACAATAGAGCACTGTTGGCAGAAAAGAACCTTGGGAGATCAATAGTCCACAGGGCATTAACTGTATACACCTGTCCACACTGTACCCTCACTGAGTACTGAACAGTGGATTTGAATTTGATCTTCTCCACAAATTAGGTATTTGGACCAAATATCAGGTTCCTCTTGTATAAAATCAGAAAAATAATGGTAACTACTTCGGTGGTTGGTTGCTGTTCTGAGCCAGCAGCCAGGACTGCAGTAGCCTGAGGCACACACTGCCTGGTCACGTGCCATCCTCAAAGCATTGCTACGTTTGAGCCCAGTTTTGCAGCCACTGGGTCCTTCCATCTCGTTCGGGTTCTTCCCTGATTATATCAGTACTCTCCTTTATCAAACATAATGTCCTTCTTTAACAACTCATCCCTCCTCCGACAAGGCCAAAGTACCTGAGACAAAGTCTCACCGTCCTCACTCCTCCCCAGACATTGTCATTCTGGAAGTGCCTGGCATACATTCCGCATTCTTCACTAACACCATAATTCACATGCATCAGTTCTGCTTCAGTCTTGCTCATTTCATGAACATATGAGGCATTTGCTTGGATCAGGTATACCTGCATCTTTGAAATGACATCTTTTTTTTTTAACCCTTCAAAGAGGTCTTTTGCAGCCATGTGCCCAATACAATCCTTGTTTGATTTTTTTGCTTCCAAGGATATTAATTGTGGATCCAAGTAAAATGAAATCCTAAACAGCTTCAATCTTTTCTCTGTTTACCATGGCATTGTTTGTTGGTCCAGTTGTGAGGACTTTTGTTGTTTTTTTCTTTTTTTCAATAGCTTGTTTCAGCTATAATGAACATATCATACAATTCAATCGTTTAATCCTGTTAAGAGGAGTTGTTCAATCATGACCACAATCCACTTTGGGACATTTTCCTTCTTGTACCGATTATTTCTTGACTCCCCATATCCCCTAGTCTCCCCTTTTGTGCCCCTAGGTAATTATTAATCAGTTGCTGTATTCATAGATCTATCCACCCTGACTTCCCTATACAGAAAAACATAATGAAACAAAGAGAGAAGAAAGAAAGAAAAATGGGCCCAGTAACAGTGACCAGATAAAACAAAAGCCTCAGCTGCCCAGAAAGCAGAGAATATTAAACAACTAGAATAATTTCCAAATTGGTCAAAAGGGAGAGCTAATGATAAAGTGTTACATTCTAGCTTAACTAACTAGGTAGCAGCTAACATCCACTTTACAATTCGCATTCCTAGGCTATGGTCGGAGGGGGGATTCCCTACAGATTCAATTCATGTGTGGACCCTACAAATGAATTTTAAGCTGCTACTATCATTCATAGTGTTCTATACACCAGTTGTTAGAGTTTAGGCTCTGGTACTGTTCCCTCCTCCTGGTTTGGATTTTATTCTTTACAATCCTTAGATCATAGAGGCTGATGTGCTTCTTCTATGTAGACTTAACTAACTGCTTACTTAGATGGCTGCTTGTTTTGAAACAAGACTTTAAGACCCCAGACTGTGTTTTTTTTTATTTCTTCATCACACTTTGCTGTAGCATCCGTGTATTCAGTGATCTCATGAGGGAGGGCAAGTACTGAGCAGGGCCTTGTGACGGAAAGTTATTGTTCTTGTATTACGGCTACAATCAATTGTGAGCTCAAAGTGCATTCATATACCTATGGTTTATATAGGTCCCTGGTTTGTTTTAGAGACGTCATTCGCATTTTATTGGATTACACCATAAATCATCTTCATGAGGCATAAGGTAATTCTGTTGATAGTAACATTGTTTTAGTCAATAGATCTAAAACACTGTTGAGAAAAGGAATTTATACATATGTAGGACATCTTTTTAGATGACAATGAATTGTCACCTTGTACAACTTCAAAAGTTAGGTGACTTGACACTTGTTACACAAGCCATGAGGGTGGGAGATATTGCAAAGGCAGAAAACTACCTGGTAGACATCTCACAGAAAAACAAAGCTGAGTGTCAGAGCAACAAATATATGT